TATTATGAAAAGAACTTAATGCAAATTTCATATGTAAAACAAAAATACTGGATATTTTTGGGTTTTATTTTTTTTTCCAAATTTTATTCACAACAAGTGGTAGAGCTTACATCTTCTCTCACAATTTGTTTCAATATCAGTGGTTTAACTTGTAAAGTAAGCGCTGGAAACGATGTGGCCTGCCTTACAACTGATCTGCTAGCTGCACTCGGCAAGCTAGAGCCAGTCCTTGTTCCTTTGGTGTTGGCTTTTCGCTACTGGGCTAGAGTAAGTTTTTTTTAATATATATATATGTATGTATATATTTGTTCCTTGTGTGTACTTAAGTAGTGATAATATTCTAATGTAAATAATATAACAAAAAGTCATTTTTGTTATGTATTTCTGTTAGAAGAAAATCTCTTTTTCTGAGTCAGAAAGTGTTGATAAAATAAGTTCTGTGGTTTACGCCCCACAATTCTGAAAATATTACTTAGGCATTACTTTTATTAGGGCTAACCCAATGTGTATAAAACTCTGGTCAACTTTTGTGCTCTTGGAATATCCTTATTAAACAATACATTATGAAGGGTGGGGGTTGTATCAGAAATAATATCATGAAATCTATACAGCCAAAATATTAAGGTAAATGTATAACCTGAAATCTCAAATAATTAGATATCAAAGTACACATAGCAATTAAATAGGGTGGCTGATTCATCTCTCATTGAAAATGTAACCAACAATTGAATTTGTCTTCAACTTCTGTCAAAACACACAAGGTTTCTTTAAAAATATTCTACCAATATTTTTAACTAAACAGATAAAATAAATAATCTTTAGTGAACTTCAGTACTTTTAATTATATATTTATCTATTTATTATATTTAAGGCTACTTAACTCCAAATGAACTCTGGGTGGCTTACATGATAAAAAATAAAAAGCAGTTAAATAATATATATGTCCAAATGCGATTTCTAAGGATTACACAAAATACACCTGACAGGCTCTGTAGCCAACTTTCTCCAGAACCTTGGAGAAGACTCGGTTTTTAAGAACTGGGAAGATAAGCACTCATTCAAATAACCAAGTCTTATGTCATGAAGGCATGCCTTTACTGAGGCATGCCCATTCTTGTGGCTTTGCATTTTGGACCAGTTGTAGCTTTCAGATGATCTCCAAGGACAGCTTTATGTAGAGTGTATTGCAGTAATTCAACTGAAGGTGATGGGAATATGAGTGTCCCCATCTAGAAGGCCTTGTAATCCAGAATTGGTGCCAATGTTCTAAGGCCCTCTTTGAGCAGGAGTTGTTGAGTTTAAGACAGCCCCCAGGTTGCACACAAGTTGTGAATATGGTAGTGTACCTTCATCCGCAACTATAGATAGATGGTCACTAGAGTCAACCTTCCTGGGTAAAGTAGACAGGAAATATATAGGTAATCCTCGAGTTATGAATGTAATGAAGCCTGCTATAATTACATTCGTAACCCAAAGATCCTTAGGAGTGAATCACATAACTTGAACGTGATCATTCCCTGTTCCTCTCCAGCCTCTCTTGCTGAGGCTTGCAGGGACGAGAGATTGCATCCCTGTAGGCTCCGGTAGTCTTTGCAAAAAGGATTTTTGTAGACAAGAACTGAGCCTGGGAAGGACACATGCTCTCTCCCCCCCAATTGGTGGAAAGGTTGGGGAATTCTGCTCTGTATTTTTTTTTTTTTTTCGTGTATGGCATGTGTTAGCCAGGGATTACTGAGGTGGCTAGCTGCCTTTGTGAAAGGAATTTTTTGGGCGGTGTTATCTTTACCCACGGGACGCCTGAATGCCAGTAGGTAACCGGGGGAGGCTCCTTTCTTGTCCCTACGTGGTTTTATTTGAGCCGCCGACTCAGCTGTGCGCAGGCCCAGTATTTTATACCACGTGAGCCACCGCGGGCCCCCATCTGTATTGCTATATTGGTCCTTAGCCTACATTTTCTATATACAGTAGAACCTCTTGTCACAAACTCTTCTGACCACGACCAAATCAGGTTCTGACTTCGTGGCCGATTACCCCTTTAGCACCATTTTTGTAAGCATCATTGTATAGTGTATAACTGAAAAATGCTTGAAAAATGCAAAGTGTGCAAAAAAACAATATAAATACATAATTTTCTCTTTTTTATAGCTGTGTCATATTGACTGCCAGGCAGAAGGTGGAATCCCTTCATATTCCTTTGCCTTAATGATAATATTTTTCCTTCAACAAAGAGAACCACGTATCCTACCATCATATTTAGGCAACTGGGTAAGCTTTTAACTTAACCATATGATTTATTCAATGGTACTGAGGAATTATTCAAAAATTGCTGGAAAAGTTCCTAAAGAACCTTTAGGATTCATAATCAGAACTAGATACAGCTGTTATTTATAGTATAATATAACTGTTCATCTTATAAAATTTATTACATATAAAAAGCACTTTGTTTTTTAGATTGAAGGCTTTGATTCTAAGAAGGCTGATGATTACCAACTGAAGGGAATAAAAGAGAAGAAGTTTGTAGTGTGGGAATACAAACTATCAAATAATGGAGGGAAAAATGTGAATACTGTAGAAGGCAAATCTAAAGGAGAACAGCACAGAAATGGTAATAAGAGTACAGCAGCTGTGGAGTCAGACGTTCAGAATAATCCAAAGGAGAAAAAAGGCCATGTAAGTGATTCCTTTTAATTGGGAAGTACTTTTTTTAATTAGTATTTTCATTTAATGACCTGAGAATAAAACAGGATAAGCTATGAGAATAAAACAGGATAAGCTTTCCCCCCCATTTTTCCTGCTTCTTTCAGTCTCCATTATCATTGGAAACATCACACCAGATATCTCTGGGACAACTCTGGTTAGAATTGTTGAAGTTTTATACACTGGAATTTGCTTTGGAAGAATATGTTATCAGCATACGGGTACAAGAACTTTTAACCAGAGAAAACAAAAACTGGCCCAAAAGGCGAATAGCCATTGAAGGTATGGCATTTTGTAAAAGTTCTTCTAAATGATTTACCAGTTGCCTTACATACCTGATTTTGCATATATAACACACTGACGTATGCTATAAAAACTTCAGTTTTTAAATGTATTTGTGGCATTTTCATTCTTGATACAGCTGCCTCATAAGTAAAAAAATTAATTTAAAGGCTTACAGTGAATTCCATTTAATTGTCTAACTAAACAGAACATATTTGTAGAGAATTAATGATGTTAGGTTGCTATAAGTAATTAATTGTTGGCAAGAACTACACCAATCCTTTTTCCTCACACTTTGATGTTACTGTAGATAGAAATAAAACAGAAAAGAAAATGGTTGAGTACCATGCTAAGGAGAATGGCAGTCTTTCTTTATTGTTTTGCTCTTTGTTTTTCATATATTAACATTATAACAAAGGAGATTCAAGAAGAAAACTTTTTGCATATAATCTATAGATATGTTTTGTATTATGTTATGTTAATTTTTAAAAACCGTGGGTATTTACAGAGTTTATTAGTTAAACTGATAAAAGTAGATATGAAAGCAATTCTGAAAATGACAAGAATATTTGCTTTATTTTTAAATATTTTTTTAAAAATCATTTCTTTCCTTGTTTCTATTCTTTTTAGATCACAGTCGATATCTGATGATTTTATAAATGTTTATTTTAAAATAATTTTCTTTTTGTAAAATAAAACTGACTACTTGAAGGTAATTTTATAATAGGTTAAATGTTTTCAGGAATCAAAGAATTAAAATGTAACAGGTCTATTTAAAATGCAGTATATTGACCTCATCTTTGAAACCCTAATTGAAAAGCAGTATATAATTTATTTTGTTTCCTTTTTCTTAGATCCCTTTGCACTAAAAAGAAATGTTGCACGGAGTCTGAACAGCCAGATGGTGTTTGAATACATCCTGGAGAGGTTCAGGACAGCGTATAAATACTTTGCATGTCCCCAGAGTAAAGATGAGACTAAGCCCAAAACAGATACCAAGAAAAAGGAAAAGGGAAAAATAGGTAGCAAAAGAACTGGAGAACCTGTAATTAACTGTTGCCTTCCACAGCAGACCAATATTACAGGAAAACATAAACCTGGTCATGGATGTAATTTACAGGAGTGTAAATTTAATGAATGTAATGAAATGGAATCTATGACTAGGGGATGTACTGAGAAACTTAAAAGCTTTTTAGTAAACTCAGAAATTATCAACACAGACTCTGGAGATAGAGAAGAAACCGTATCGTTTATTAGTAATGAATGTTGTGAATCAGAACACAAATCACTTAAAAGAAAGGATGATCAAGAGCTTTCAGCTGAAGAAGAACTAAGCCACTGTTGTGTTTTTAATGAACATAAATCCCTTGATACAGATTCTGTTAGTGGATTATCTGACACTGAAAGACTGGATTCAGTAATGGAATATCCAACAGATAGCATGTGCTCAGGCACTAGCATATCAGCTACCTCGCACAATTGCAAAACAGTAGAGGAGACTCAAGACATTAGAGATGAAGTCACCACAGAAGACATGCATTATGTGTTCGATAAATTTATTTTGACTTCTGGAAAGGTAAAATAAAATCAAAAGTCATTTTATATTGTATTAAACTATTTCATTTATTTAATTTTAATTTTCTTATTGAACTATACAACAATGTATTTCCGCTATCAAACATACATAAGTCGACACATACACATACCATTTAGAGAAATAACTCAGTTTAAATTGTAAAATACTATTTTTTTTCATAGCCTCCAACTATAGTATGCAGTATCTGCAAAAGGGATGGCCATTCCAAAAGTGATTGCCCAGAAGATTTTAAGAAAATTGATTTAAATCCACTACCACCAATGACAAATAGATTTAGAGAAATACTTGATCTTGTATGTAAAAGGTGCTTTGGTAAGTAACGTTTTTGTTTTTTTGAATAGGTTCAAATTTTTGTAGAGGCTCACATTATTATGAGTTTTTAACTTAACTCAGTGGAAATATATTTATGTACTGCCATCAATAACACAGTCTCCTGTGTTCAATTCACATTCAGGTAAACATGACAGTTTGGACTTTGCCATGTATCTGACAATAAGGTTTATAAAAAATGTCAAGAATACTTTTGAAATCAGCAGATTTTGTAATTCTAAAATGGATTTTTTTTTGAGAGAAAAAAGATTTAGATTTAAGGAAACAATTAGAAAAATGAGAGGTTGCAAATCGGTGTTGTATGAAACCCTTGTAAAATACTGTAAATAATACAGAATACAGTACAAGTTCATAGAAAAATTAATTGAAAGATAACTTATGCTTGGCTTTAGATACTGCCAAATGCTTCAATTATTTTTTATTTGTCTAGATGAATTGTCACCTCCTTTCTCAGAACAACAAAATCGAGAGCAGATTCTGGCAAGTTTGGAAAGATTCATTCGGAAAGAATATAATGGTAAGAGATCTTTATGTAAACAAAAGCATATGTTATAGGCATCTAAACAGTGCTTTGAAAATGTGAAATATTTCATACAATATTTCCATTTTAGCAGAGATCCTACCACAAATATTAAATAAATAAAATTGTATTTAGATTTAGTCAAATTAATAATTACTACAATTTCTACTGGTTTCAATGGACTTTTGGAAAGATTTAGTGAAGCCTGGGTCTAATAAATTAATATTAAACTAATTATATCCCAATTATTTTTACATTCCAGTGCTCTTAAGGATTGGAAGATGTTTTGATGTAGATTAAAAGTAGATTATGGAGGGCTTAAGGGGAAGAAAGGAAAGGATATTTCTGTGGCATGTGAAGAAAATATATTTGCACTATGTTGGATACAGTCCAACATTATATTAGAATTATAAGTTGCCTTGACAACACAGTATCAAAATTATATAATTCTAAAGTATTAAGCTATCCATATCTACCTGTATAATAGGACCTTAATGCCCTATACATTTCTCTTTAACATTAATGAGGTAATGTTTTAGATAAGAGGTGTCAAGAACATGGTCAGGTTATTCCACATCCTTTGAAAATCTTCCAAAGATTCTGTGCTTTCAAACTAAAGAAGTTGATAACAAACAGCAGTAATTAATTAGATTTTAAAAATTGGAAAACATTCTGATTAGCGCTAGAGTGGTTGATGCTGAGCTTGTCGGCTGGAAAGCTGACAGCCTCATTTCGAGACCCAAGCACCTCACAACAGGGTGAACTCTCATTATTTGCCCCAGCTCGTGCCATCTAGCAGTTTGAAAGCATGCAGATATGAGCAGATAAATGGCTACCACTTTGATGGGAAGGTAACAGTTTTGTGCCCCTCAGTTTATGGTCATGTGTATATATTTCTCAATTGTGTGTGTATTTTGCATTTTAAATGCATTTTTTTGGATCCCTAAATATTGTAGAGTAGGGGTGTCAAACTCGTGGCCCACGGGCCAGATGTGTCACACACTGACCATGCCCACCCCCAGTTTAGCGAAAGGGAAGAAGGTTGTGATACGACAACGTGACATCGCGAGTTTGATACCTGTGTTGTAAACTAAGATTATTCTGAGATAGTTCACAGTACTATTTTATATGCATGATTAATTAAGGAAACGTGTGTTTCAGTTCACAATCAAATATGCATAGATGTTAGATCAAGGATCCCCAGGCCCTGGTCCATGGCCTGGTGCTGGTCCATGCCTTTGGGAACTGGGCCGTACAATCAGTGGGCGAGCACGCGTGCCAAAGCTGCATTTGTGCAAGCAGCACATGCATGCACAAAACCATCCTGTCTCTACCGCTGCCACCGTCAGAAAGAAAGTTTGGGGACCGCTGCTGCCATCAGAACCAAAAAGTTTGAGGACCGCTGTGTTAAAGCATGCATTGGATTATAGGAAAAAGTGACCACTTATAAATAACCATTGATGGTTACATTGGAATTCATAAGAGTATGAATTCTTTTGATTATGAAACTCTTTTCTCCATTATGGGGATCTCTGTCTCTCTCTTTATTTTCTTCAGACAAGGCCAGGCTGTGCCTATTTGGCTCTTCAAAGAATGGATTTGGATTCCGTGATAGTGACCTGGATATCTGCATGACTCTAGAAGGCTATGAAAATGCAGAGGTAATTCTTTTGAAATAGCTTTGCATACTTTTGTTCTTGGAAGTATTTGTAGCATGTTGCGAATAATAATACAGTGTTTTTATTCATTTTCTCCAGAAATTAAATTGTAAGGAAATTATTGAAAGCTTGGCAAAAGTTCTTAAGAAACATCCAGGTAAGATTAGGGTGTTGCATATTGAATAGTATTGTATACATTTTTTTCAGTTTTACTTAGTATTTATTATTCTTAGTTTTAAGAACTATTACTTACCTTTGCAGGTTTAAGAAACATTCTGCCTATAACAACAGCCAAAGTGCCTATAGTAAAATTTGAACACAGACAAAGTGGCTTAGAAGGTGATATCAGCTTATATAACACACTGGCAAGTACCTTTTTGTTAACAAAAAATGCTCAGTATAATGAAATAAGGATTATAGATAGGATATTTTTCTGGATTTCCATATAGATGCAATTAAAATTTTACATATAATATTCATTTAACTCTATACATTATAAGGATCATTGATTTCCCAAATGCTAAGTATAATAATCCCTCCCTTCAAAACTTATGCACCACTGATGTTTAGAACAGCAATATTGTTTATGGAAACATTTGCAGCCTGGGAACTGGACAACTTATCAAATTCTTTTTTATGATTTCAGAGCTCCACATCCTCACAAGTTTGATCAAAATGTGGACCCTTTCTTATATTTGGAGGAGATTGAAAAGCAAAATTGGTGCCTTAAGTCTTACAGTTGTTTCTGGCAGCCTTTTCACTCCCTAATATTTATGAATAATCATGAAGTCCTAAATCAAACTATGCAGGTCAATGAGTCAACTCAGTACAAAAATCTAAAGCATCCCTGCTAGATATGTATCTGGCTTCTGCTTAAATATATCTAACAAAGGGGAGTTGAGATCCATTCTGTAATTTATTGTGCTGTTGAATTGTTATTTCTCTTAGGATTTCTTTTTCAGCAATTGAATTGGAATCTGCCTTGTAATTTAAATCCTTTATTCCATATCCTTCACTCTGGAATGAGAGAAAACTAGTTTCATTGTGACATCTTTCCAGCTATCATGTATCACTCTCTGCTCTCAGGATACATTCCTAAGATTCCCTCCTTTTTTAAAAATGTGGCTTGTTATGCCATTCAAACATGGCATGATCCCTAAGCTGGCAGAGTTGCCCCCTCTTCCATATGCATGATGTGTATTCCCTGGCCAAGTCTAAAAATTGCAATCAGTATCTACACAAAATAAGCAATACTTTAATGAATTATTAAATTATAAAGTTAATTAAAAGAGCAGTGTACCCAGTTGCAATGTCCCAATTGTAGTTCTGTGCTCATTTATTGAGAAGTTAGTTACATTTTACTCATAAAATGCTATTTCTGTGTAAACATATAAGTGATTTCATTGTATATTTTATTACATAATATTCATTTATTGCACTTTTAATTTATTTGGGATACCTGCAATAAATTTAAACTCTTACATCAATCAGAGGCCTATAGAATCTCATTCTGTGATGATCTGTTAAGTTTTACAGCAGATCTTAGCAATAAATCACAGCTTTCCAGACATTTGACCCCCATTCAGCATTTAGATTAACAGTCTTGAGTCAGCTAAGCTAGAATCATATCTTCAGGAGAAGTGGGAGCAGGCAAGGTAGTGTCTTACAATCATGCAAATTCTTCTGCATAGGAGACTAGGATTCAAGTTTGAAAGGGCAGAGCTTGTATGGGTTATGATCGCTGCTCGGAGTCACTGAGACAATAAGATGAGCATTGAATAAATTTGAAAAATAAATGAAATTGTTTCACAATGCATAGTTCATCATTTTGGTATTTGTATGGTCAAACAGATGTCTATGTTTAGAATCTTACTTGCAGTCAAGAATGAAACTTTAAACAAAATCGATTGTCTGCAATAGTGCAAAGAAGTCAGAGCCTCATCCCACCCCACCCCCTCTCTCCTCCCAAGTTCTTTTCCCTCCTCCCATTTCGAGTTCATAGATAATTAGCTAGCCTCTTGATGGCTCTGAGAGTCAGTAAATATACATTTACATTACAGTATAGTTCTCTGTACCCAAGAACTACTAGTTCCTACCTCTCTGGTCTCAGCTATTACATGATCTGTGTAATGGGTTACACCTTAATGTTACTCTATTGAATATAATCTGATATATTTGTTTTCTAGGCACAGCATAACACAAGAATGCTTGCAACTTACGCAGCCATTGATCCAAGAGTGCAGTATTTGGGATATACAATGAAAGTTTTTGCAAAGGTGAATGCAATATTGATGTGATTTTAAAACACAAGCTGTGTTCAGTATTCCTCCACCAAATAATTGAGGCTAATTCAAATACTGGTTATTTTTTAATTGCACTAAAGATATGATGGCTGCTGTGCTGAATTGTTGAAAGTACACTTGTGTCTCAACTGGATTTAGATTCACTAGTGAATGTTACAGATTCCTTTGGCTTGAACATGTCAAGGGCAAATTCCAAAAGCAGGTAGGACCAGAAGCCATTTTAAGAGAGGGGTTTGGAAACTTTAATTAGTCAAATGGGCATCTTAAAAATCTTCAAGGATTAACCGTTCCCATTAAATGCAAAAAGTTTAAATAAAGTTATGGCAGTGAGTTGTGTATATCCTTGGCCACATTGTCTATTATTTGCAAACTTTTCTTGTGAATCCAAATTCTCTTTGTTTTCTAATTATACATATTTATTATTTTGGCCTTCAGATGTGGTTGTATTATTATTGACTGACTTTTTACATGGTGTAATAGACAGCTAGTATTTCCTATGTCAGGACTTATTCAAAATGAAATCTATAAAAATCAGGATGCAAAGTAGGCTTTGGAGCAATTTTTATATGTGATGTCTTTTTATGTGCATAGGCAGACTTGTACTGTAAGGATACTAATTTGGGAAATAGATTAATTACCATAGGTAGAATAACTGTTCATTAATTTAAGATAACTAGCTCAGTAATTCAAGCTACAGAAATATGCATTGATTTATTTGATACCAAAAACAGCAATCTAAATTATACAGAGAAAATGACCTTTTTATTTCACTCACCATCAATACATCTACATTTGTCTATGTTACTAACTGCATTATCCCCAAGTAAAGAGAAAAAATCACATGATACACAAAGGTCCACACATTTCAGAAGACTCAGCAGAATTCTGTAATAAAAAAGAGAGGAAAATTTATGGGTCGGTAGGTAGATATTCACATCTGCATGTTCAAGGAAACTAATGTGGTGGCATGGTTGACGTTATATTGAAGAACAGAATAAAAGTGTTTTTGTTTTCAAGTGGTATGTATGTATGTATGTATGTATGTATGTATGTATGTATGTATCTCTTCACTCTCCACTCTTTTCACTCTCTTGAAGTGAAAAATAGAGTTCTGCTTATTTAAAGTAAATGACTGTACTTTTTGTCGATGGATAAAATACATAAACAAAATAGCTCGTGCTCTATTACATTCTGTTGAGACATTCATGCTCCTATAGTTTCTCATGATGCCAATTTAGTTGTTCCTAGAAAGACATTTCTAAATTGAAGTATGAAATTTCAGTAACAGTGTGCCTTTGACTCTGGTTATGTTTTACTGAAAACATTTTTTGGTTTGGCATAAAATATTTTTCCTTAGTTTCTATTCTGAGGATATATTTGTTACTCAAAATAACTATATGTTTATTGCATTGAAAATGTTTGAACAGCGTTGTGATATTGGAGATGCATCCAGAGGAAGTCTCTCTTCATATGCTTATATTCTCATGGTATTATACTTCTTACAACAGAGAGAACCACCAGTAATCCCAGTACTGCAAGAGGTAAATTTTCAAGGAAAAAAAACAACTATGATAGAAAACAGTTTTGAGATTTCTGTCTGTTCTTGTTATAATTTTCTTATGAGGTTATTGTTGGTTAGGGTTCTTTTTGAAGAGTTACTGAATCAAATTTGGATCTTTTCCTAGCTATTTCACATGGGTTGTATATACAGTAGTTTTCCTCATAAGATGTAGAGTTTTCATCCTAACAAAAGTCTGAACAAAGTCTATAATAAGGGTAGGTAATCTGGATATTTTGAACTAGTTTGCATAATCCCTAGTCAACATGACTAATAATTAGATACTGTGGAATTATAATTTAAAATATCTGGAAGTGACTTGGTTATTCTACAAATAAAAACAAGTAAGTTATGTTTCTAGCCAAATGTGGTTAGCATTTGATTTTAACTCGATTTCTGAAATCAAATGAAGTCTACTTGATAACCCTTTTTTACTCCCAAATCTCTTTATTAGCAAAAGTATACTCTGTTACCCTTACCACTAACACAATCAGATCACATTTCCCCCACCATTCTTGTGCATTTGTCTGGTATTCTGGGTCAGAGATTTATGGTTTCCTTGAAAGTTTGAGAAGAGGTTCTTTTATTATTCATATTTTTAGAAATAATCAGATAAGTAACACATATTTTTGTATTGGGAATGCTTTTAGTTTTTGTAATTTTCTGCTCTTATTTTTCATGGTGATATAGATATTTGATGGGCAGCAGATCCCTCAAAGGATGGTTGATGGTTGGAATGCTTTCTTTTTTGATGATACGGATGAACTGGTAAAGTCCTCATATTGGAATAATCAATTAATTATTAGGTCTGCTTTAATTATACTATGTATAGTCTGCCAGCAATATGTTCACCATTCAGGAAACTGAAAAAGGAACTTTCTCTCTAGTCTTTTATTGTTGGATAAAGTAGCTGAGGTAATATGCGGAAGTATTGGAATTGGACCAATAAATAAAAGTCTTTGCTAGTTTTGTAGTGAAGATTAGTATGACGTAGCTTACATATTTTTGTGTTTCTCTGTGTTTTTTCTTAAGGGAAAAAAAAGCTGTGGTTTTTTTTTTGGAATGTAGATAAAGCAACCTGGGGCAACCACAGAAGAGAGATTCTATCAGCATCTCTGTATCATATTTTAGGCAGAGATTTCCTTTTCAAAACAAATGCATATTTCATCCAATAAATGTTTTGCCTCTACCATAATAAGATCATTAGAAAAGGTTACTTTGAACTTGCATAAGTAGAAAATTTTGTGGAGAAAATACTTTTATTTATTTGTATCCCCCCTTTTTGTTATTTTTACAAACAACTCAAAGTAGCATATTCAACACACTATCTCTTACACTCCCTACAACAACCCTGTAAAGTAGGTTGGGCTGAGAGACACTGACAGGCCCAAGGTCACCCAGCTGGCTTTCACGGCTAAGATGGGATTAGAACTCAAAAGGCTTTAGCTTTCTATCCTGAAGCCTTAATCACTTTTCCTCTTACCCTGTTAATAGATAATCATAAAAGACAGCAATAGATATTTTGTAGTGTGCTACTTTAGAAGCTTTCTGGTTAAAATCATTATATTTATTTTTGAAAAAGTTGTTCTCTTAATATGTTTATGCTATAACTTTTATACAGAAAAAACATTTACCTTCTCTTGGGAAAAACACAGAGTCACTGGGAGAACTCTGGTTAGGGTTACTGAGATTTTACACTGAAGAATTTGACTTCAAAGAATATGTCATCAGCATTCGGCAGAAGAAGCTGTTAACCACATTTGAGAAACAGTGGACATCCAAATGCATTGCTATTGAAGGTAGTTATTGAATATTTCTTGTTTAATAAATCAATGTGTTCTTCTGAAGAGTCTTCCTCATTTATACTACATTATACTAACATATTTGAAAGCAATTTATCCTGCATTTGTAGATTTTGTAAAGAAACGTGCATTACTTACTTTTTTAAAAATCCTCTTTTAATGTTGGTTGTTATCACTCAGATCCCTTTGACCTGAATCATAATCTTGGTGCAGGAGTTTCCAGAAAAAGTAAGTATAGAAAAAGTACTATTCAACTGAATAAACTTCAAAAATAATATAGCTTTTTAAAAAATGTCTCTTTTTTTTAATCCAAAGTGACCAATTTCATAATGAAAGCATTAATCAACGGGAGAAAGTTATTTGGTACCCCTTACTATCCAATCTCAGGAAGAGAAGCTGTAAGTTCTTCTGCCTTATTAATAAATGAGCGAGTATTTTTTGTTGTGCTGTAGGATATTTCAAATATCTTTCAAATACATTAAATATTATTTTGCACTATATATTCCATTGAATTGATTTGGAGATATATGTGTTATGCTGGTAGAGTAGGTTGTACTTAATAGAATCATGCTTTTCTCAGCAATCTGTTCTGTGTTTTCTTTCCTCATGAAATTATTAAAATAATTGTTCTGCAAATCCTAAAAAAAAATATGAACCTTTGTTTTGTATATGCTATGGGCTGTCTGCCTACCTACTTACCTACCTATCATGTAGAAGTGCATGCTGTCTTGGAAATGTAAGCCTATAAAAGTTTGATATATAGTACCTCTATGTAGATATCCACAGACAGACACACACATGGAAAATAACCCCAAAATATGAACACATTCACTGTTTGCTGAAGTTTTGAATATCTGGTTGAAACACCTTTTTCCTTAATAAATGACTTCGTTAGTAAGACATAAAAGTGTTATTACCTGTGCTCTCTTTCTGGAAAATGAATATAGAATATGTTTTTGGTAAATATATGTTTCCAACTCTTTCAGGATTATTTTTTCAATTCCAAAGTATTAACTGATGGAGAACTAGCTCCAAATGACAGGTGTTGTCGTGTCTGTGGCAAAATTGGTCACTATATGAAGGACTGCCCTAAAAGAAGAAGGTTAGTAAGAACATATGCCTCTCTGTTTCATAAAATGAGCCTGAAATAACAGAAAAACAGAGTTGGAGGTCTTCTAGTCCAACCCCCTGTTCGGGCAGGAAACCCTATATCATTTCAGACAAATGGTTGTCCAGTCTCTTCTTAAAAATGTCCAGTGTTGAAGCACCCCCAACTTCTGGAGACAGGTCGTTCCACTGATTAATTGTTCTGACTGTCAGGAAATCTCTCCTTAGTTCTAGGTAGCTTCTCTCCTTGATTAGTTTCCATCCATTGCTTCTTGTCCTGCCTTCAAGTGCTTTGGAGAATAGGTTGACTCCCTCTTCTTTGTGGCAACCCCTCAGAAATTGAAACACTGCTATCATGTCGCTCTTAGTCCTTCTTTTCATTAAATTAGATGTACCCAATTCCAGCAACTGTTCTTTATATAGAATAGAATAGAATTCTTTTTTGGCTAAGTCTGATTGGACACACAAGGAATTTGTCTTGGTGCAAATGCTTTCAGTGTACATAAAAGAAAAGATACATTCATCAAGAGTCAAGAATCATCAGGTATCACACTTAAAAAATAATCATAGGGTACAATAAGCAATCAAATCATACTAGGAAACAATCAGTATAAATCGTAAGGATACAAGTGACAAAGTTACAATCATACAGTCACAAGTGGGAGGGGATGGGTGATAAAGAGTGATGAGATACGTTTTTAGCATCCAGCCCCCTAATCATCTTTGTTGCTCTTCTGTTTTCTTTTTAGAGTCTCAATATTTTTTTTAAATTATGGTGACCAAAACAGTATTGCAGTATTCCAATCTTCAAAATATTCTTTCCCTCTTTTACTTTGCACCTACATGCTCTTGTTATCTTTTTAAAAATATTTTTTCACATTTTGTTATACTTTTTAGGGATACTATAAGGCATTCCTTTCTGTGTTTTTTCTTCTTAAGGGTAAAGAAAAAGGAGAATGAAAGAGATGATGAAAAAGAAGTAAAGGAGGAAGAAAGAGATACCAGAGAAAAGAGATGTTTTATGTGTGGTGACATGGGACATGTTAGAAGAGATTGTCCTGAATTCAAACAAACAAGACAAAGAAGCAATGGTATAGCAGGTAAAATAGATTTTCCAATTTTCTGTTTTGTATCCTGTATTTCAAGTTCTGTTTTTGTGGCTTTTGTCCTGATTGACTCCAAAATGTGATTTTTGCTAGGATAGTTATTCATCAAAGCCTGTGCATAATTTTACTTGGCTTTAAGGAATTTCAGGGGAGTTTGCTATCCATAGAAATGATTGGTAAGATGAGTTCAACATTACCAGTTGTGATGCCCGATTGCACTGTAATGATGGCAAAAGCAGATGTGCATCTATAGTAGCTAACTTCTTTGGAATAGATAATTTTTAACTAATCCAGTTATTTAAATCTAAGTGGAGTGAGTTCCAGGAAGGGTAATGCCAAAGCAATGTATTTTATTCATCTTATTTATAATACAGTAAATAAGTTTAATGTAATTAATTATTGCAGTTGTATTTGGACTAAATAGAAAAATGATTTCTATACTTGTTTTAAATTATTTTTTCCACCTTATATTTGATAAGAATTATTGTAGACAGGTTTTTTCCCCTAAACATCTTTTACAAACTAAATGCATGATTTATCAGTCATTGCTGTTGAAATGTAGGTCTATATGTTGCTTCTATATTTAGCCTGTTTCTCATGCTGCATTTTTTCATGACCTGCAATAGTAATTTCCAGCCATACTCTGGTTTTAATCTTTGCAATTTTTACAATCTTGAAATGCTTGTCATTCTGCCCCGCATAATGCTGATTTAACAGCTCTTCCTTACATTTTTTCAAAAATAATTTTCAAAAATGAAATTTTGTTAACTTAACCAAACATGAATTTAGTAAAATCTTGCTGTAAATAGATTAATAAATGAAGGTTTATAACTGGTAATTTAACAGTGAAGGATCCAAACAAATAGCAATAATGAATATTGTGAGCTTTGCAGTAGTAATTTTTCCTAAAGGTAGGAAAAGTATATATTTGTTGTGATCTATCCCTAGCATAAAGTGCTGCTACCAAAGATCCATGAATGCAATTCTGATTGTAAATGTGCCTTTCTTTGCACTTATTTATTTGAAGTTTGATTGCTTAATTTAAATTATACTATACATTCTTTATATTTGATCATTTAGCTTCTCAATTAGTCAGAAATTTGGTAAATTCACAGCAAGTCACTGGATCAGTTCAACAGCAGGTGGAAAGACCCTTGCGCACCAGACAACCATCAGAATGTGTAAGTTATATTTTCAGTGCTTTTACGAATATGTTTTGTATAAGTAAGCAAGCATTGACAGTATAAAAAATCTATAGCAATTCTATAGCAACTGTAGTTATAAGTACTTATGATGATTCTTACAATGAAACACCTCATGGACAGGTCAGTAGTTTGTTTTCCAAGATTTATAGCTGTCTCATTTAAGCTATTATACACATACACGCTCAAAAATCATAGATTAAGGCTTTTTTTGGTAATTGAAAGAATTGAATTAATGAATATGCTACTGCAGTATGAAAATTAAAGATCATGTTTATAGTTACATGTTTTACTCTATTTAAAAGAGAACTTAATCAGAAGAGTACGTAAGATCAATCTTCTAGTAGTAGAAACCTTATGTACAAAACTCAAACCAGTGAAACAATTTACAAGTAGTCCTTGACTTACAACCGGTTGATTAAAGACTATTTGAAGTTATGATGGCCTAAGAAGGGGCATAAAGCACTTATGACCATCACAAAATGTCACATGTATACTCCCTGCTACCATCATGTCATTGCAATCTGGGTAGTTGGCAATCTGTTCACACTTAGGACTGATTACAATCTTCCCTGCTGGTTCTCTCAGAAACAATGCTTTCCACTTGGATTTTAACAAGAAAGATTTTCAGTGTCTGAGCATAGAGATACTTGACTATGACCTGTAGTAGGCCTCACCTCCCAGGGCTTCTTCCCTCATCTGCTTGAGGCAGCCCAGGCTCCTTATTGCAGGCTACTGTTGCATCTCCTTTCTGGCACCTGCCAAAATCTAAGCACACTAAAGCTCCATGCAGGATTACTTAGGAGATGTGGAAATTTGTTGAAATAAGTTTGTTATCCCTCGCAATAACATGTGTGCCTGTAGCCTGATGAAAAGAAGGGAGATGGAGAGAAAAAGTTTGATAAAACACACTTCTTCTCCCTTTTCCTCCTCTGTCTTTTCCTCTTCATCTTGAAGCCAATCTCCTTCTTCCCCCTCCCTTCCTCCTGCACACCATTAAACAGATTCCTACAGAGGAAGCAGATCCTTGGAATATTTCTTTACTGGGAAACGCTCCTTTACAAACTTATTTCAGTGAATGCCTGTCTTTCCTAAGGAATTGCATGCTTGGATTTCAGCAGGTGTCAGAGTGAAGAGACAGTAGTAATATAAGGCTATCTTAGTAATATCAGGCTACCTTAGATAGTGAGGAGATCCCTGGATGGCCTGGTAAAGGCAACCTACAAATGTATCTTTGTTCTGGCACTGAAAATCCTGCTTGCATGAAGGATTTTCAGAGCCAGACAGAGTCTCACAGGGTTTTCCCCATCCTCACCGTGAACTCCTTAGCTGGGACTTTGTCCGTTAAAACCCCATGAAATTGCTTAATGACCACAACCTGGAGTGCCAGGGTGGTAGTTATTGAATGAAGAAGTCACATGGCATCTTGCTTAAAGCTCTGTTTGGTCAATCCAAATTCTGATCCCAATTGTAAGTCAAGGATTGTCTTTTTTTCATTTTCTTGAGCTGAAACAGTAGAAGCTCCTTTGTGGCAACTTTTTGTATGTTAGGAGCACGGTGAATCACTTAACTGGTAAACTAATCCAAATTCAATTCTTTTTCCCTCCTTCTCTAGTCTGATTCGCATCAGCCATCTTACTCTCCACAGCCTCAGCAGTTTACCCAGAATTCCTCTCCACCAGCCTCCATTAACCAGACTCAGCCTCAATCAATATCCCAGTCTAAGCATACATTGCCGCCCCAACAAGGGGCACAGTCACCTCACCAGGTCCAGCTGCCTTTGTTTAACTTTGCCCAATCTCCCCCAGGTCAGTATTCCACCTTGCCTAATTTGGGGGTATTTCAAATGCCCCACCATCACCAAATTCCATTTCCTAACACCTCCTGGCCTGTTATTCACTCTGCACCGGGTAATCCTCCTCACGCAACAAACGTTCCATTTTCGGTGAGAGCTGGCAGCAGCAACCCACCCAATAATCAGAGCACCATAAGCTTGAATGATCCTAGTATCATCTTTGCACAGCCTGCTGCCAGGCCTGTGGGAATCCCCAGCACTTCTCATGAGGGACCCTGGCACAACCCCGTGACTCTAAGCTCACTGGTGAACAATGGCACAGTGGGGAATTCAGGTAATTTTCCTCTTGCCACTTGCTTTGTACAAATACTGATGTTTTGTTTGCTAACCATTTCTGAGCTCATTCATTTGATTCTGCTAATCAGCTGCTTATAAGAAAATGCCTTAAGGAAGATTGCTTTCCTTAATACTTAGTCCAAGACATTAATAGCTGAAAAGTAAAAAAATAATGCTCAGGCATTTGCATTGTATATATAGACGTGATATTGAAAGAGAAGGCTGATCTTCTAGTGAAAACCTGCCAGCAAATGTGAACTGGATTAGAGAATCAACACATCAGATCTAGGCATAAGCTGAAAGCACTTTGTCCCATTTTGTTTTTCATTTGTATTTTCTCATGTTGCACTTAATGCTGCTCTAAAAATAGTATCAAAAGCAGCTTAAGATGGGACGGGAGTGATATACGTATATGACAGAAGAAGGGTGGCCTGGTATGACCACATCTTTGTGTCTAGCCCAATTTATACTCCACCCAATTTATTTAAAGATCCTGCGTATTGATGTACTTAGATCAAAACTTTGATAAATTACCATATTTTTCGGTGTATATGATGCACTACCCCCCCATCCCCAGTGGGTGGAAATGTCTGTGCGTCTTACACAGCGAATGTTGCTGAAGCCCTGCCCATCCGCCAGTCCCCACCCTTCAGCCTCTGCCTCCCAGCAATTTGCCTCCTTGCAGCAAACAGCCAACAGCCTGGTCAGCTTCAGCACAGCCTGACTAGCACAAGCAGCTGATTATCGGGTGGATCGGCCTCCCGACAATCAGCTATTTCAGGTTGCAAGGATCACATCGCCTATTGACACCTCCATGTGCCCCATTTTTAGCCCGTTCCGATCCCCGCTGCCTGGAACAGGCCAAAAATGGGGCGCGCAGAGCGGGGTGGGGTGCAAGTATTTTTACTACCAGTTCTGTGCATGGCTAGGTGGGTGTGGCCATGTGACTGGGTGGGCGGGGCTTTTTTGCAAGAAAAAAAAACAAACCACACACTTTTCTTTTTTTTTGGCCTCCTGAGCCTCAGGGAAGCCTCCTGGGAGGCCGTTTTTGCTCCTAGGAGGCTTCCCTGAGGCCCAGGAGGCAAAAAAGGAGCACGGGGGGTATACAGATCGTCAGAACAGCTGATCGTCGAGAGAAAAAAATACAGGTTCTGCAGAACTAGTAGCTGTTTTTTTTATTACCGGTTTGGCCGAACGGTAACATTTTTTACCACTGGTTCGCCTGAATTGGGCCAAACCGGTAGAATACCGCCACCGGCACAGAGGTCGAAAATGGGGCGTGTGGAGGAGGCAATAGGTGATGACGGTCCTTGCAGCCTGAAACAGCTGATCGTCAACTAACAATCAACTGCTTCTAATCAGGCTGTGCTGAAGCTGACCAGGCTGTCTGCTGTTTGCTGCAAGGAGGCAAATTGCTGGGAGGCAGTTTTTTTTTTTCCTGTTTTCTTCCCCAAAAGCTAGGTGCATCTTACACTTTGGAGTGTCTTATAGTCCGAAAAATACAGTAATTTATGAACCAGCATAAATTTTATACCTTTTTAAAAAATATAGCTGGTCAGAAATGTGTTCCTTCCCAATGGCTCACCAGTGTTTACTGCTGTTGTATTTTAATAGTTCCATTTTCATCTAACAATGACTCTGATCCATACTTCCTAGAACAAATTTAGAAGGATCCGTGGCTTACTTTAGGTTTGCTTTTCTTAGAAGTTGTCAAATCAAGCCAATAAAATATTACAAACAACTCTTTGATAGTTCAAAGATTCCCAAAATGATGTGTTCATGCTCTCTTTACAGGTAGTTCTTGGCTTAAGACTGTTTACAATCGTTCAAAATTGTGATGGATCCAGAATGGGTGCTATGGCACATAAAGCACTTTTGGTCATTGTAAAATGTGCCAACTCCCCACAGTCATGTGACTGCATCCTAGGCATTTGGCAGCTGGATCACCTTTATGACTGGTTTCAGCATCCTATGGTCACATGACCATGATTTGCTATATTTCTCCTAGAGTCTGGTTTAGAATTAAAACTGCAGCTTTTATTTAATCACAAGTTCTTTTAATCACCACAATGATTTGCTTAGTGACCACTAAAAAAATGTAAAATCAGATAGTTATATGGGTGCCACAATCTACCATAAATCCCTTCCTGATTGTGGTCATAAGTCAAGGACTACCTATCAAGTATTCTGTATTTTCAGAATATGTCTTTATTTCTATTTTTGAAAAACACATGAGATTGCATCATATTGTTTAATATTGCTTTTGGTTTTATTTATTTTTTTCATTCATTTTTGAACAAAATGGTTACTTTGACTCCAAAAAAATGCTGTTGGGGTTTTTCAAATGTCTTAGCTGGGGTGATAGTTTTAATTTAAAATAATATCAATTATCGATAAGTACATAATATATTCCACACATCAATGCTTATACTAATATTAGATTTCAAAGAGTAAATGCTATTGTTTGCTGGTGTATTGCAAAGCTATCAATTTCATCTAGTGTTTCCTCTTTTTTCCTTTTGTAATGAAAATTAGATCAAGGTTTCCAAGGGCAGTTTGGTAAAGGAAATCCACCTCCACCTATTCCTTGGGACCATGGAGCTACTACCCATTTTCCTCTTCTTCGAGGGACGTGGCCTTACAGTGTATCTCCAAACTACATGCAGCAGGGAAATGCCAGTTACCCATTGAACAAACCTTTCTATCCTCAAGGTAGGATAAGATTTTAATGTGATACAGCTTTGATACCTTCCATTTCTTTGTGGCTGCAGTCCTTAATAATATATTCTGAAATACCGTGTTTCTCATATAATAAGGCCGGGTCTTATTTTTTTTTGAGCCCCGAAAAAATGGCTAGGCTGTCTTTTCAGGAGTGACTTAATTCCCCCCCCCCTTTGCATCTTTGGGTGGGCGGGCAGCGATGGCTTGGATGTTGACCTCGGCGTTGGTGGGGCTCTTCGTATCGGGGTCAACGCAGGCAGCACCATATCCGGGTGTGCAACAAAAGTACTTCCTAATGGCAAGCCCCCCCACCATTCCCCCCCCCATTTTGCATGTTTTAATATAGGCCTTAATTTGGGGGGAGGGGCTTAATTTCATTTCATGCCTATAAAACTTGCTGGGACTTCCTATTGGGGGAGGCCGTATTGTTGGAGAAACAGGGTAGATTAAAATAAAAGCATGGCTTTTTGAGTCCGTATTCACACATAAGAAATGTGTGATGTACAGAACTTTTCATACAGTAAACTTCTGAATATGAATAAATGTAGCACCTCTTTGTTAACTTGCTACATTAATTTTTACTAATATTTAAATAAAATCTGTCTTTTTATATGGAGTTAACCTATTTTACTGCAGCAAGTATTCCACACGCCAGAAACATATACATGGCTTCTGGTTTATGTATTTGCTTGGAGACATTTCATTACCTAAATAGGTGTTGAAATATTTGAAACAATCAAGCTCAGAGGCATCAAAGACTTCACACAGTTGAACTCCAAACCACATATATTCTCTTTTATTAGTTTATATATTAAGGCATTGATCGTTCAAAGTAGATATTTAGAGAATGAGATTGAAGCTGATATTTATAAATTTAATCCACAAATTGTTCTGTTTTGGTCTTTCTCCCTTTGAACCATTGCCTTTCTACAGCAGCATTTCCAAGCATTTTTAGACTGAATTTTCAATGTACATGAGATATAAAATGAATTTATTTAATATATACTGCAATAATTTTCTTTTAGCTGGCTTATTGATGCAGAACCAGAGGTTTTCACTTCTGTCTCAAGGACATCCACACTTGAACATTAATTTTATTCAGCAGAAGAAATGAAGTTTACTTAAGGGGATGGGAAAAAATCAGGTTGGAATAAAATGTTATTGCAACGTTTAGATAAAAAGATTATTTAAAACTTTTTAAGTGTATAATTTGTACATAGATATAAAATATAGTTTTTACTAGTATCACAAGAATTAGTGATACAAATGTCATCTATTTTATTACCCTATTTTTAAGGGAACTGCGTTTTATTTTATCTTGATAAACTGTAAAGAGAGTTTTTAAAATTAAGTTGTTTATTTTCTATTAGCTTTATTCATACTTTGGTTCAGACTTTATATCTATTCTAAAAAGAAATTAGAAGGAATTCATGTGTTAAAGCCTTTCTTTACTGAAAAATGTAGTGCCAAAAAACTTTTTAAAAAGGAAAGAAATAAAATTGGAAAATACTAAATCATAGCCATATTTTCTTTCATGTTAGGAATTGAATGCTAAATGGCAGTACTTTAAAAAAAAGATGTAAAGGGTTGGTTAATCAATTTTAGCATTTTGGTTATGGAAATGTTTGGGATTTGGAGGTCTACCTATAAAGGTATTTGCAGCATAAGCATTAAAAAAGAAGTCTCACATATGCCTGTAAGTGTTGCCATTTAGCTCACTGAACTCTGTGACACATTCAGATTTATCCTTCCTTTGTAACCTCTGATACATGCCTGATATGTCTGTTAGCTATTAATGGAAGCAAGTACAGAACAAAACAGAGCCATTTTCATTAAGTTCAAGTATTTCTGGAATGGTAATACCACCTTGAGTCTAAGATTGATACATAAAAAGTGCTTTCTGACTTTTTTTTACCAACATGAAAATCTTGGTGCTCTAATTAATTATTCATGATGTCTAAAACAAACTTGAGGCATTGAACTTGTGTTCAAATCCTTCTAGTAACTTAGTGAAAAATGTAACACTAAACTTGCCTATATTTTTAAGGCTGCAACCTTAATCCCACTCATTGCAAAATAATCCCAAGTGATATTCCCATCTTAATGTGTGTATCTGTGCCATAAGTATTACTATTCTAGGAATAGACATGTCAAGCACAGTTCAAATTGGATTGAACCAATTTGCAATTCAGATTAGAAATAAATCTAAATCAACTTGGAAAAATTGAACATGCACAAAAGTTGAAACTTTCAGACCTCTAAATTTTATTTCAGTGATTCAGTTGGATTGCTTTTGAACTGAATCAAATATTTGCACTCTCCTGTTTATTATGTATTAATAGTGAATATGTTCAGAATAATTGCCTTCATTTTACAAATATTTGTAATTTAAATCAGTTCTGAATACGTCAGTCCAAGAAAAAAGTTTTTTTAAAAAAAGAGACATACTTCTGTATCAACTTTTTTTTAATAAAGAAATTACAAGACAAACTTTCTTCCTGCTTCACATTTACAATAATTGTTGTAAAAAACAGAGGTGATTGGAAAATACATTGAAAGGATGTCCATTTTTAGTTAAAAGATATCAAACAGGGCAATGAATACAAATGCAGTCTTGGTTCAGTCATTTATCTAAATGTGCAAGGATTCAAAATGGGAAAAGATGGAGTAGACCAGGGGTGTCCAAACTTGGCAACTTTAAGACCTGTGGACATGCTGGATGAGGAATTCTGGGAACTGAAGTCCATGAGTCTTAAAAGTTATCAAAGTTGGACCCTTTGGAGCAGATTATCCTCAGTGACCCTGTGACTACATAACACAACCTTACTGTTGACTAGAAAATCCGAAGGGAAGAGCTACGAATTTTGAGTGTGAGAAGAATTGTCTTGATTATGATCCATAAATATAGAGAATTGGTTTTTTAAAATCTGTAATTAAACCAAATCAGTTCAGAAATGTAAGCAGACTAAGGCTGGTGCACACAGTATAGGGATAAATCCACTATGTATACGTTGTCCTCATTACATTGCCCAAGAAACTGAATGCAAAAAACATTGAGCTGCCACAGGAGCATCTATCTGTGAACCCCTCAACCAAAAAGAAAAAAAAGCTTCCAATTCATGAAACAGGTTATGGTTATTCATTTCCCCGACGGCTTTTCTTATGGCTCTTTTTAGATCTGAAAGAAGAAGAAAAGCTTTTCAGTATTCATTAACTTGAGTTCAGTGAAAATCAGACAGTCAAGAAGTTAAAATTCAAGTTTGCACAATAAGATGGTATCTAATCATTGGTCCAAATACATGATCATACAGCTCAATTATAAAGACTTATTATTCCTGTGGGACAAAACTTCTACGAACCATTTTGAAATAGCAAAATATTAAACACATGCCTTTCTGGAGACTTGGAATGACTACGATGTCTGTGGCTACGATGGTGCCCTGTTGAGATAAGATACAAAATTTTGACTGATTCTGCTCATACAGATAGTATTTGACTTACAACAATTCATTTAGTGACCATTCCAAATTACAACAGCGCCGAAAAAGTAATATATGACCGTTTTTCACACACGGGACCGTTGCAGCATCCCTATGGTCACATGATCAAAATTCAGATGCTTGGCAGCTGACTCATGACTGTCCCAGGGTCATGTAATCACCTTTTGCAATCTTCTGACAAGCTAAGTCAATGGAGAAGCCAAATTCACTTAGCCGTATTACTAATTTCACTGCAGTGATTTGCTTAACAACTGTGGCAAGAAAGGTGGTAAAATGGGGCAAAACACATTTAACCAATGTATCGCTTAGCAACAGAAATTTCGGATCAATTGTCGTAAGTCGAGGACAACCTGTACTTAACATAGTCCTTTGATGCTCCATACCATAATACAGCATTGTGAAGAAGGGATGAAGCTTTTAACTACTGATAGTCACATAAATAAATTTGTGTATTATAGAAAAAAAAAAGGTTTTTAAAAGTCAAAGGAATCATCCACAACTGCCTCTCTTAAAGTGTAACTACCTGGAGATTTAGATCTTGATCTGTGGCGTCTTTCTCTAGATCTACTTCGGTGCCTCCTTGGGCTCTTACTGCGATGTCTCTCACGCCGTAGTGAAGGACTGTTAAAAAGTAATCTGTTAGTGATAAACTTACAATACTTTTTTAAAAGATCAATTCAAATATCTTGCATGGTTACCTTCTCCTCTTTGGAGATCGGCTTCGCCTAAACAGGAAGGAGTGGAGATACAGTTATTTACTACAATACTTTTAGCGTTATGCTGGTTAGCAATAGTTGAAAGATCCCAAAATGCTACCTTCTAGGAGATCTACTTCGACTTCTTCTGTAGCGCAGTGTTGGAGATCTACGAGGTTTGTCTAAATCCCTATATCCTCTTCTTCTGTGATCGGGGGAAGGGGCTCTATCCAGCTGAAAACATGTAAACAAAACCTATAGCGATGTGACATTTCAAAAGCTATCAAACATTTGTTCAAATTGCATGCACACACAGACTCAGTGGACTTATATGCCACCCATCTTGCTAAAGGCGATTCTAAGTGACTTACAATAAAAAATGCCGATACAAAACATTAAAAGAATAGTACCATTAAATTTGAATTAAAATTGACAAAGATGGAGAGGAAGGGGGAGCAGGATGAGCACAAGGAAAAGGCAGGGTCTTAATCCATCTCAAGAATGACAACTGGCCCCAGGCCAGTTGGCATAGCCAGGGTTTTAGGTCCTTTCAGAAGGCCCAAAGGATAAGTATGAATCTCACCTTGGAGGGGGGCATATTAAATACATTTCCAATAATCCATGTATGAAAAGGAAGACAAATACTGGGAAGAATCTGGTGACATATTTCCATGAGGCTTTAGTGCATGGAATAGGAAATGAGCCATTTTTTTCATCCCAAAAATCTGATAAGGATTCAAGAGGAGGAAAAAAGATCCTCCTGTAACCTCATACTCCAGTTCTTACGCTAGGTGGCTAATAAGCATCATATCCCAATATATCCTCAAAAAATAAGGATGTGACGTTTTTGTACTATAAAATCAGCATATGCCATGTAAGACTTCAATGCCAAAATAAAAACTTGATTCAAACCTTTTCATCCTCCTCTTCCTCATCCTCACTAGACTCTACATCATCCATATCCTCTTCCAAAGCACTGATCCGTGTTTCCAGTTGTTCAGCTTCTTCTAGAACGTATCTTTTCTACAAAGAACAAACAAGTTTCTAAATGCAGATAATACTTCAAAAGGGAAAGATTCAATCATGCACTGTATATATAAAAAGCTTTTCACTACTGGAAGTTTGATTTATAAATTCTTTATAATATAATTGATTATATACCTGTAGTCTAGGTAAAATGATATCACAGACACGCTCATCATGAAGCAATTGATCAATAAACTCATCGACATGCATGAGCTCAAACTCTGGGGAAAAAGATTGTATTTAAAAAGAGTAACATTCTTAATATGCTAAGATAAAATTGCAGAAAACAATAGGTATGTTTTATAATTTTTTTCTACATAAAAAGCAGGATGTACAGTATATGCACTTGTGTATAGCAGAGTTATTCAATATGCATTTCTTACCACCACCTCCTGTCTGGTAAGATTAATACTATCCAAAGTAGTCCAGAGGCAAACATTTAATATGAAACAAGAATATAGTGCCATTTAAGACAATCACATGACTATATACTTTAATCTGTATCTGCTACTTACACATTTAAATCAGTTAGATAATGTGCTTTACAAATGACTGAATAAAGTTACACCACTTACCCCCATTTCTATTTTGGTTTTTTATTTTTCGATAATCATTGTATAAAGGTTCAAGGTATTTGTAGCAGTCTATGGCAGTCCCAGTCAATCTCATATATAATGCACCAAGTAATCTCACATATCTAAAAATTGGCAAAAACAAAATATTAATTTATAATTTCTTTTTCCAATACAATTAGCAAGAGACACAAATGTTCTATAATGGAATTTGAATTCACTACTGAGTTATTTCATTACAGATATTAATTCAAAAATGTCCATGTTATACCAAATCATTTGATTTATGCTTATAGGTAGTCCATGCCTCTTCCTGAATTATTTCTTTTCCACTCCATGCAGGAGTTCCTCCCCCCGCCACCTGTAAAAATACTGTACAAGTTTTCACTTTTGTGGAAAATAATTGATTTTCAATTTCAACCATACCTCTGAGAACTATTACAAAATTTACAACAGAGCTGAAGAGTATTTCTTAAGAGTTGTGACTGCTAAAATGTACACCATATTAATAATGTAGCTGAGCATAAACAAATATATGTAGGAATAACAAAAGTCTTTAATGTGAATCAGCCCTTGTTATTTATGGGAGTTCTGTTCTAGCCTTTAGCTGTATGTAATGAAACCTTGAATATGAAATTTGTGGGTGGGGAAGGGTCATATTCTGGAGCTTGAAAAATGGTTGAAGAGGATACTGTGAAGATTGGGGCAGAATGGGCTGATGGAAAAGAAGAACTGCAGAACTGGAAAGCTACAGAAGGAGAAGATTGAAGAACAGACTGTCTGATGGAATTAGCAGCAGTTGCTAAACAAGTGGTTGGGCAATGGCCTAATATGTACATTTATACTTGCAAAAAGTGATGGGTGGATAAGAAGTAGGAAATAAACATGACTGATACCCAAAACCTTATACCATGGAGAACAAAATCTGATTTATATTTACCAAAGATATGCGAAACTATGAAAAAGAACTACCATCTATGCTAACAAGTCTAATTGCTTTAAATTACACGTCCATATTATTTTTTTCTCTTACTTGAAGTCTTCATTCTTTATAAATTCAACAATGATGTCTTTTTCAGGCTGAATCTGCAGCATCTTCAGAGTCAAGCACAAGAATGGTGTAGGCTTTATGTTCCCACCATAAACTCCACCAGTGTATCTCAGTTCCATAGCCTTATCTACAACCAATTCAGCTACAAAAAAATCATGACAATTCCATCAGGTTTTAATATTAAAATCATGTATCTGGTTGTTTCATTTTTAATGAGATAGTGATAGTAACTATCTAGGTAAAAATTATCAGAAGACACAAGAATTAGGGAATGCATTACAGGTAGGTCACAATTAGTAAGAGCTTGAATAATGTGATATTCAGTTTAGGATGAATTGTAAATTGATACCAGGCTGCTTTTAATGCAGCCCAGAATTCAGTTAACGCATGGCTAGCATGTGTACAATTGAGTCATGCACAATTGTATGCACAATTGTAGCTGGGGTTCATTAATACAAATATAAAATTATGTTTAAAAAATTTAATGGCCTATTTCCATTGAGTTGGAACAAACTACCATATTTTCCATAGCAAAATCACTTTGAATAGTGCAAATTCAAATACTGCAACCATTTCATGGGATTGATTAACTACACTATTTGGGACTTACCTGTATGTAATCACACTGCAGCTTCCATGTAATTTTTTAAAGAATCGGGTATTATTTTTCATTTGTAACCTTTCTGCCTTACAAAAGATAATGTGAGGAGGAGGAAAAAATAGTTTCACAGCTTCTTTTAATTACAGTGCCAACAGGACAGGAGTATGTTATTGGAGATTTAATAGCTGACCAGCTGCTATAAGGATGCTGATGCAATGAGGATGGGTCAGCAGGGTTATTGCCACTTTAAGAAGCTGTATATATAAGGACGGCCATGAGAGGGCATATCTCTATCTCCACTGTAGTTTTCTGTGCAGAGTAATGAAGACTGATTGCTTGCCTGGTATGTGCCTAACATGTATATGTATGTATATAGCAGTCTTGTATATAAACCACTGTTAAAAGGCAAAGCCTGTGTGTGCTGTGTTGTGCTCCTGGGTTGTCTCATAATAGTAGTCACACTGCAAACACTCTGACAGAGTATTGCTTAGGTTTCCATTCCCCTATAAAACAGACCTTCCAGTTATGATTAATCACTTTGGGATGTTCTGTTAATATAGTATTTTTTTTCAAAAGATGAAAGGTACAATAGGATCAGCTATCCTTGACCTGGTATTAGAGAACAGGAAATATCTGAGGAAAATAAAA